TAACAGCAATTGTAGAATTGAATTAAAATCTATAATTTAATATATAATCTATAATTTAAAATATTATATCTATGTCTATATAATCTCTAATCTATAATTTAAAATATATGTCTATGAGAAGGTGGGGACTAGACAATGGGGATAATAAAAGTATAAAGGGTAGAAACCACTCACCATTCATATTATGACAAATCATGACCTGTAATGACTCAGAACACTTTTTTTTTAATGAACTTAAATTCTGAGGCACCAGACAGTCATCTCAAAATATTACATGGAATAATAATTTGCTCTTTTCATGCAAAGGAATCCTCCAATTGGAAATGGAACAGAGCCAACATGGTAATGTATGCCTGAATCTGCTCACAGCTTGAAACTAATAGGCTGAAGGAGATGAACTCAACAGTGCATTGGATCCAGAGAATATATTCAGGTAGACTTATGAGAAACAATTTTCACCAGGAAGAGTCAAAAAAGGTTCAAGTAGGTAAAATTATACACCCCAGTAAACAAATTCTCAATCACAAGCTTTTAAACAGTGGGAACTCTGGGGGCAGTCCAGTCTCAATTTCTTTATTTCCTGCAGCAAGAAGTAACATTTCTCCACATTCCAGATGTTACCATAAGAATGAGTTAAGGGCTTCTGTGCCTTATAGATGATTACCCATAATCCCAGGAGACACCTCTATGCATTACTTCACTTAAATATTCTGATGTACAAGTATCCCAATATATTCACCTGTACTGACTTTCTATAGCTGCACATATGCTTAAAAGAAGTCATGGACCACTTCAAAATTGTTACCTCCTTGAAATACTTTCATACTTCCAGAATTCTTATCTACTCAGGAAAGAGTAACTTTGGAAGCTTTCAATTAGAAATCCAACTCTGTTTTTAAGCACCCATTGAGGTATTTTATTTTCTGAAGCATTAGGTACTTGTAGGCATTAGGGATGTTGAAGTAGTGATATCAGATCCAAAATGTGACCTGCTTTTGGGGCAGAAAAGTTATGTTGAGACTGGTCTGTTCGAGCGCTGTCCAAACAACTGTGTCTAGGGCCCACTGTACACATGTCCCATCTGCAACCGTCCAAGCTAGCCCTGACAGCACCTCTAGGCTATACAGCTGAGCACAAACATGTAGCAAGACAATCTCTTCTCCTAGAATTATCTGCCTGTGCCCTCACTCTTGACAGCCCAAACACTCTTT